CTCTCTCTCTCTCTCTCTCTCTCTCTCTGTGTGTGTGTGTCTACATATGTGTGTATCTATAGACTCTCCACTCAAGAGCATCGTTCTACTGCTCGGTGTGTGAAGAGTTAATGACAGAAAGTACTCACTCGTGACTCTCGAACAACGCTCATCCCCTCTGGCGCCGTGGTAGATCTATAGAGAGATGTACGTCAAGTGTGCTAGCAGTGACAGGGCCAGCTTTATCAATGCTCTTATCAGTGTGGGCGGTTGGCGGATGTTTTGATGTCATCATCATCATCATCTTCATCATTGCCTTTTTCACCTTGGATCAGGATATAGGCCACGAACAAACACATTAATTTTCGACATTTATAGGACCTATTTGGGTTGCAAGTGCCGTTAAAACTTTTAACTAAACCGTTAAAAAAAAAGGTTGTCTTCAGTAGCACCTTTAGTCTTCGGCACTTTTACTTTTACTTTTATGACCATTGTGCTGCAGGTGCTGTAAAACTGCTGCTTTAAAAAACAACAACACAAAAACAAAAAAACGTTATATCACTGTGTCCTGAAGTTTGTCTCTAGTTACTCCTTTTAGCCTCAGCACCCCTTATGCCCTATATGTGTTGCTAGTGGCGTAAAACTCTTACCTGGCGCTCATAATATGACCTTATGCAGTTGCGAGCGCCGTAAAACCCTCTACTAAAAAAAAAAAAACTCTTACTCAAACAAACAAACGAACAAAATGTGGTATATATCACGCTGTCGTGCTGGTATGTAGTGATGGTGTGTTGTGATGATGTGTTGTGATGATGTGTTGTGATGGTGTGTTGTGATGATGTGTTGTGTTGGTGTGTTGTGATGATGTGTTGTGATGGTGTGTTGTGATGATGTGTTGTGTTGGTGTGTTGTGATGATGTGTTGTGATGGTGTGTTGTGATGGTGTTTTGTGATGATGTGTAGCAATGGTGTGTTGTGATGATGTGTTGTGATGGTGGGTTGTGATGGTGGGTAGTGATGATGTGTTGTGATGGTGTTTTGTGATGGTGTGTTGTGATGGAGTGTTGTGATGGTGTGTCGTGATGGTGTGTTGTGATGATGTGTTGTGATGGTGTGTTGTGATGGTATGTCATTATGATGTGTAGTGATGGTGTGTCATGATGATGTGTGTGTCGTTATGATGTGTGTCATGATGGTTTGTCGTAATGATGTGTCATGATGGTGTGTCATTATGATGTGTTGTGCTGTTGTGTAGTGATGGTGTGTTGTGATGGTGTGTCGTTGTGTTGTGATGGTGTGTCGTGATGGTGTGTTGTAGTGATTCTGTCATGAAAATATGCCATGGTGGTGTCTCATGATAGTGTGTCGTGATGGTGTGTCATAATGGTGTGTAGTAATGATGTGTCATGATAGTGTGTCATTAAGATGTGTCATGACGGTGTGTAGTGACAATGTGTTGTGCTTTTCCCTCCCTCAGGCGGCCCTGGATCTGTCAGCCCCGGCCAGCTCGCTACTGGTGAAGAACAGGAAGAATGCCTGGATACAACTGGCGGGCCACCCGGGTAGGTCTATTGTCTGTCTGTCTGTCTGTCTGTCTGTTTGTCTGTCTGTCTGTCTGTCTGTCTGTCTGTCTGTCTGTCAGTCAGCCCCGGCCAGCTCGCTACTGGTGAAGAACAGGAAGAATGCCTGGATACAACTGGCGGGTCACCCGGGTAGGTCTATTGTCTGTCTGTCTGTCTGTCTGTCTGTCTGTCTGTCAGTCAGCCCCGGCCAGCTCGCTACTGGTGAAGAACAGGAAGAATGCCTGGATACAGTTGGCGAGCCACCCGGGTAGGTCTATTGTCCGGTTGTTCTGTCTGTTTGTCTGTCTGTCTGTCTGTCTGTCTGTCTGTCTGTCTGTCTGTCAGCTCCGGCCAGCTCGCTACTGGTGAAGAACAGGAAGAATGCCTGGATACAACTGGCGGGTCACCCGGGTAGGTCTATTGTCTGTCTGTCTGTCTGTCTGTCTGTCTGTCTGTCTGTCTGTCTGTCTGTCTGT